GAATGAAAGCCTGCCCATATGACTCATGCTACAGTCCGTAATCGGTATTAGTGATAGCAGAATCATGCATCCACCCCACCGAGGCGTGGCAAAGGCCAGTCATTGACACGACGTTCCAGGCACAAGTTCCAAATCTTAATCTTCTCACTGAGGTTTTACCATATTATGAGACGTGCTAGGTGTGGGCTATGAGACGGTATGGAACCTGGCATGGACCTACCCAACGACTACAACCGACGTGCCAGTGCTGCAGCCTGTACTATCACACATGAAAATATGTATCCGCCAACATTCGATACATTTCACTGCGCTATAGTTGCTCTGTAGGTGTCGGATAATGCCTCTGTAGACTGAAGTCGCAGAGCCTGGTGTAATTGCTGGCCGTCATAGCGTCGGCTATCATGACTAAACTTAGCCGAAAGTCAAATTCGGACGAAAGGAATTTTTTCGGTATTTAAAAGATAGCTGCAGACTCCGTCTGCAGCACAAGCAACAAGAATAATGATTTTAGGAAGAAGCTTAGTTAACATGAGTCTCATAACGTGGCAGTAGGACATGCCGGTATGAGTGAGACGAGCGGGTAGGGACCTGTGTGATTAAGTAATTTTGGCGGCAGTAGTTCCACTCAACTTCCATAACAGTGAGAACTACATGATGAAGGGAATTGGTAGACCAGCCCGACTCTTACTCAGTCTTGGCCTTTCCACCTCTGATTCTCAGAAGATGACGTATCCAGCTTCCCCAACAGCTCCTGTTTCACTTCGACCTGGTCTATAATAAGCTGATTGCACACAATGAAGTGTACGAAATGATCCCTATTGGCTAAGAAGCCCCCATTCCAAATCGAAGTTGATACGTTTTGACCAGTAATCCTTATATAACCTGAAAAAAAGAGCAAAATATTGGTGTTAGGGTACTGATAACTTCTATCTCATCGGTTAACAACAATACTTATGTAGATCGCACCACACTCAGATATCAATTCTCATGCTGCTCACGGCCCCGGAATGAGACAAGAGTTTACAGGAAGAAGTGCGCCGCCGGTGTCGTTACACCTTGGTGCCTGACTCTTGCTGAGCGTGACCACGCCAAAATGGGCACGCCCAGAGCAAAACATTCTTTGGCCAGCTGGAGGGTTGGGGGCGCGGCAACGTCACACTCTATAGAATCAGACTTGTCAATTGTTCAGTCATTTACTCTTGAGCTACGGCCTAAGAGAAAGTTAAACCCTATGGCCGGTTTGATCTGCATTCCCATGGAGTCCACAGCGTCGGGCATGACAATTGTTCAAGCATCTAGTCTTGAGCTGTGGTCTAAAATAAAGTTAACCTGTATTGGCTGTTTTGTCTGAATTATCATGTAATGGAACAGTATTACAACCGTGTATCGTAAAGTATGGACACAAGTTTGTGGGTACTGTGAGCATATTGTCACGTTATGAGACTCATTGTTAACTAAGCTTGTTCATAAAATTCATTACTCTTGTTCATTTTCTTTCGTCTCTGTCTTTCAGAAGGATTCATGTCATTTATCTTAAGTTAAGAAGACTACCCAGCCACCCTGATTTCATCAGGTGGCGATGAAATGACGCAGACCAAGCAACATCGCGCTTTCTTGCCATAAATTTGTGTGCGCCTCGCCTGTAATAATTTCTGCTTCTGTGTAAGCGTTCATCTGTAAATTATCAAGTATTTTCCTCACCATTAGGCTGAGTTTTGCTAGGAAGCTCTCGGGTTTCATGTCGCATTTGTTTGTCGTATTTGGCGTGGACCTAGCATTGCCCGACAACGTTCAAGCAGACAGAAAATACCAAACGTCTGTGAGCAACTTAGAGGGCATGTCGCACATCGGTATAGCGCTTGCCAAAGTATTAGATATTGTTTCATATGAAACTGAAACTATACCGGCGTCCGGTTTCATGAAAGAGGTGAGTTTCAGTTTCATAGCGTGTCTATCAGTATAGTAAATAATATAAACGATACGTATATTATCAGTATGGATCCCTTGGCAATATTATTGTATTGTCAAGTGGTGCATATTGTATTACGCAATATGGCATTGGTCCATATTGTATTGTATTGCCAAGAGGCTATGCTTTTGCGCTTGGTAGGAGTCAATTGCCTTGGATTTTATGTGTTATCGTTCCAAGGTAATGCAAAGTAAACTGAAACTGGTCTAAATCGATGTCAGCAAATGAACAACATGTTTTTGACAACTGAATACCTTGTAACTTGATTCGATACACCCTGAGATGCGCATTACGTGCCATATGAGACACAGTGGCAACTACAGACATTAGTAAATAGTTGTTTAAAGTGAGTCACCCCGGTCTTTATTTATGGAAAATAGTCCCGTGCGCCCTCTTTTTTTCTTGTTCTTCCTGCTGTAGTTGGGGTTGGTTGTCGCCAGGCTTTTGTCACAATGTAGGAGTCACTTGTAGTAAAGGTGTGACCAAAGAAGCGAATTATGTGCGCCAGAGGGTCAATAAAATGCAGCATCGATAAACTCTGTCCGACAAACTTCTGGAAAGGAAAACAAGTTGTTGCCATTTCCCTTGTTTAACCAAGCGATATTCCGCGCACAGCCTCACAGTGAAACACATCCTCTCGTACTACCGTTACGAAAATTGTTGTTCGAAAAGGCTGCCGTCGTTAAAGGGGCATTCGCTACTCTAGACTTGACGTTTTGTATTATCCCACCGCCCGTAACAGTCGAACCCTGATTATAAATGTGCCAGACAGTAAGATGCACCCCTTGGACTAACCAAATTAGCATTAGATCATATGTCGATCCTGTCCATCGCTCATAAATTTGCCTGGGTTCCCAGTTGTTGAACGTCACAGCGTAACACGGATGAAAGGAGTGCGTTGATTCTGTAAGCTAGAGATGTTGCCAAGGCACGCTATCTATGGAAGGCGCAGGCTGGACCCTGCACGTGAGGCTGTTTCATGTTCATCAGATAGTCAGTGCTCCTTATACTGCAGAAACGAGGTATTTCGATTTTTATCTTGTCTTCTTCAATGTCAACTGTTCCTTGCCCGCCTGCGTGTTCGGGTCAGATTGGCGATAGGACGTCGTGTGCGTGTGGCTGGCAGGGTTTCTCGCCACACGGCTTTCGTAGCCTCGTTCTTAGATGCTTCTACCAGGGGGGATACAGTAGTGAATTGCGTCTTGTCCAGCATGCAAACCGGATTGTTCCTTGCAGTGCCTTCAAATTTGGCTCCTATTCTGGTTCATCTGACGGTGATATCCGTCCCTAGGAGACTGAGACAATTTTTCTTCGAGTTTCATTTCTCGGATAAAGCAATCTCTATTGGATGAAGCACACAAGCGCTTTCATCATCCGAGTGGCAGGCGGCAACAGTATCACAAAAGCGAGGTTCCACTGCGCAACGGAGGAGACGACAAAACAATAATGAAATTGTTAACAGAGCTTACTTAACTATAAACTTCATATCGTGCCACCTCCAAACTCTCAGTTCCTGCTATGTGTCTATTTATCTATGCCAAGTTGCCGGTCCAGCAACATGGCCTCGGCTAAGACAGGGTATTGATTTTGTGCACAGTCATAGCCTGAAGAGACAAATATTGCCATGCGATCCCAATAACCGACATCAACCGGGACAGCCTGAACTGGCCCCTCTTCAAAACATACAATTTCTTGATTTGACAAAACTGGTGGATTATCAATTTGACAACTGATTAATTGTCGAGTTCGCAGTATCTCTGCCTCCAGGTCTGCGTTCTTCGAGTACAGTTGGCGGATCAGTTGCAAGTTGTTTTGTTCCTCACGTCGCAGAGTTGCAATTTCTTGCTTCAGCCTCTCTATGTGCTCCTTTTCTTTGTTTCGGCAAGCCTTTTGAGCAATTCGATTTTGTTCTCGCCTCCGCGCAAGCTGCACAGGGCTTAATTGAGAAACTATACGGGTACGTGCAATTACAGCCGGTCAGTAATGTAGAAGCTCGACTTGGAAAAATGCATGAACAACTGCTGCCTCACCTGTTCTCTTCTTGTTCATACTTTCTTCGACACTTGCAGTAATGCCTATACCCAACCAGGTCAGCCGTTTGGTAACTGCGATAACGACAGTTCAAAAGCTAGCGATAGGATGAAACTTCCAGAATACAAAATATTCTATATCATGTGATGATCGACTTCGCCTGCATGTTGCACCATTTTCAGGCATTACGAGCTCATTAAAAAGGAGATGCGACAGGACCGATGCCAACATTGTGACACGACAAAAGCTCGCTTGGGAAACGGCAAGATGATCCATGCCAGACCAAGGTGCTATAGCACCAGTGGATAATCCTCAATGTGCGTTGCTTTCAAACTAGGTCTTTTTTCCAAGCGAAGATGACGAATGAATATCCTTGCAGAGCGCGTGCATAAACATTATTTTGGGGTACAGCGACGGCAAAAATACGGAAGCGACTCGGTATTTTCTGGGAAAACACACCCAATCCTCCAAGGCCCCATTTCCGCGTAGAATGTGACGTTATAGACAAAGCCACACTCTCTGATACCGATTCTTACGCGCTAACGGCGCCAGGATGTGAAAAGGTTGTACAGGAGAGAATGGAAGGCCGGAAGCGCGGCATCATCACAT